GTTGCTCTCTTTCTAATTCTTTGAGATGTAGAGTTAGATGATTTACTACAATTTTTTCTTGTTTTTTGAAGTAGGCCTGCAGAGCTATAAACTTCCCTCTCAGGACTGCTTTCATTGAGTCCCATAGGTTTTAGATTGTTGTGTTCTCATTGTCATTAGTTCCCAGGATGTTTTTAATTTCTTATTTGATCTCATTGGTAACCCAATCAATATTTAATAACATGTTATTAAGTTTCCAAGTGTTTGAGTGTTTTGGGTTGTTTTTATTGTAGTTTATTTCTAATATTATGCCATTGTGGTTATTGATTTTTTCATCCATTTTTTCTTGATTCTTGCATAAGTTGTTGATTTTTTTCTCCATCCGGTTTATGCACTCTGGGACTCTTATTCTGAATCTTTTTTCTGACATGTTGCATGCCTCTGTTTCACTTAGCTGCTTTTCTGGCAATTGCTCCTTTTCTTTCCTTTGGGTTTTTTTTTTTTTGTCTACCCATGTTTGATCTCACTGACAGATCTAGATGTTGAGTCATTCTGGGTGGCAGTGGCTCCTCGGGCTGCGGTTGCTTCTCGGGCGGTTGTGGTATCAGCTGCTCCTCAGTTGGCAGCAACTCCTCTGGCGGGTGCTGATCACAGCCATGGTGGTTCCTCTGGCTGGTGGTGGGAGGCTTCTCACACAGCTGCTGTTCCTCAGACAGAGAGTGTGCTGATCACGAGGCTGCTGTTCCTTGGATGGGGAGGGCTACTCACACAGCTGCTACTCCTTGAACTGGGGCGGACTGCTCACATGGCTGCTGTTCCTTGGATGGGGGCTGGCTACCCACACAGCTGCTACTCCTTGAACTGGGGCGGACTGCTCACACGGCTGCTGTTCCTTGGATGGGGGCTGGCTGCATGCTGCTGTTGTTTCTCTGTTGTTGTGGGCTGCTTGTGGGGCTTCTGCTCCTTGGACATGGGCAGGTTGATTGCAAGGCTGCTGCTCCTTGGACGGGGGTGGCCTGCTCACGCGGCTCCTGCTCTTTGGATGGGAGTGAGCTGCATGCATGGCTGCTCATCCTCAGATGGGGACAAGCAACTCACCCGGCTGCTGCTCGTTGGACAGGTGCAGGCTGTTTGTGGCTCTGCTCCTCGGACCAGTGCGTGCTGCGCAGGGCTGCCACTCCTCGGACATGGGCGGTTTGCTCATGTGGCTGCTGCTCCTCGGACCGGGGTGGGATGCTGCTGCTCCTCAAATGGGGACAGGCTGCTCACAGAATTGCTGCTCCTCAGATTTGGGGTGGGCTGCTCACACAGGTGCTGCTCCATCGGATTGGGCAGGCTGCTCGTGTGGCTGCTGCTGCTGGGACGAGGGCAAGATGCTTGCACAGCTGCTGCTCCTCGGACTTGTGCAGGGTGTGGTCTGTGCACAACTGCTGCTCCTCAGATGGGGGCGTGCTACACAGGGCTGCCGCTCCTCAGACGTAGGCAGACTGCTCATGCGGCTGCTGCTCCTTGGACAGGTTGGGCTGCTTGTGTGGTTGCTGCTCCTTGGATGGGGGAGCGGGCCACTCACACAGCTGCTGCTCCTTCGACAGGGGCAGGCCACATGAGGCTGCTGCTCTTAGGCCCGGGGCAGGCTGCTCACGGGGCTGATGCTCCTTGGACAGGAACGTGCTGCTCACGTGTCAGCTGCTCACATGGTTGCAGTGCCCTGGACTGAAGCGTTGGGCTGGTCAGAGGGGTGCATGCTTCAGAACTCACAGTAACCTGTGCCTGGGGTGGCTGGAGACTCGTTGACAGTGGGAGCACAGTCGAGGTAGCAGGTCCCTGTCAGGGGTGGCTGTAGAGTCCCAGGTGTTACCTGAGGGCACCCTGGGTGGAGGTGAGGCTGGGCTCTCAGTTACATCAACTCTCCCCTTCAAAAAGGCGAGGCCTCTGAAGAAGAGCTGGCCTCGTTGAGTCACTAGGTCGTAAGACAAACACATACTCAGTCAAATAAATTAGTCACGATTTGAGTTGGTATTTGTGAGTTGCCTCAAACAGTGTCTAAACACAGTAAGGCCCTGGCAGATGTGGCTCAGGGGTTAGAGCAGGGGTGGGCAAACTTTTTGACTCGAGGGCCACAATGGGTTCTTAAACTGGACCGGAGGGCCAGAACAAAAGCATGGATGGAGTGTTTGTGTGAACTAATATAAATTCAAAGTAAACATCATTACATAAAAGGGTACGGTCTTTTTTTTTTTTTAGTTTTATTCATTTCAAATGGGCCGGATCCGGCCCGCAGGCCGTAGTTTGCCCAGGGCTGGGCCAGACCCTGTTAACTCCCAGGGACTAATCAGATTTTTTAAATCCTTCGTACCATTCAGGGTGGAATCTGGGTGTGGCTGTATTCCTTGCCTGGAGACTGGAGGGAGGGGTTATAGCTTCAGTAGAAAATGGCTGCCCAGGTCCTGGACTCAGGCGTGACTAAGCATTCAACTCACTGCCACCTCTCCTGGACCCCCTTCTTTCCCCAGCCTCTCCCCAGATTCCACTTGTCCCCACCTTCTCCTGCTCCTCAGCACGGGTGAGTGTCTGTATCTGAAATGTCCTATGAACAGGGTTCAGTGAAAAATATAAACAAACGCTGGCCACAGAAACGGGGAATGCTGAGTCTCTGTAAGCTCCTCTCCTACCGGCACTGCATGGTCTGGTCAGTGCTTCAGGCTGCTCCCTCTGGGCTCAGTCCTCTGTAATTATGGCACCCAGATCTCAAATCCCCCGGCGCCAACAGTCCTGCGGATCTTTTTTCCCAGTCAGAGGCTGTGCCTGTCCCAAGGGACGTGGCTGTGTGCTGCGCGGTTTCCCTCTGACCCTCTGGGTTCAGAGATCTGGCAAACGTTTCTGCCCAGATCCCTGGTTTTTACCTTTCCAGGGGAACTCTGCCCTTCCCGGCTACAAACTGTCTCACCAGCTGAGTCTCCTTCGCCAATTCCGGGTGGATGTTATTCGTTTCAGCTGCTCATTCTATTTGCTCCCGGACAAGCCTTGGGATGCGTCCACCTATTCCGCCGCCATCTTGTCTCCCCTGAGTTTATTGATTTAATTTAAATTGTTAATACATTTGGAATTTATTTTGTTATGTGGTTATCTCTACTTTAAAAAAAAGGTTGAGCAGGATGGGTTTGAGCAGGGAAGACTTTTGTTAAGAATGACACCTGATAATAACGGCAACATAGATGCCATCATGAGGCCCTCAAATGGGAGATTTACATCTATTTAATTCCTTCTTCTTATCCCTGAATAGAGTTGAGCCATCAGTTGTGGTTTGTGTCACATATTGTCAAGTTTCTTAGGCAACATTACTGTGATCAACATTATTGTTACTACGGAAAATTGGATTAAGATATATTCTGAAATGAGCAAGAAAATTTACGATCACCAAAATATAGACCCTATAACCCTCTTAGAAACTTCCTCCCCATTTACACCTATACCTGGAGTCTTAAAAGTTAAGTATCAGATTTTTCTTAAAAATGTAACCATGTTTACCTAGCAGAACAATGCCAGAAAAAGTAGAGGGGAGCTTAGCTCCTCCTATGACTCTGTTCTCCTGCTCTCTTCCTCCCGCCACACGATTTCCATGCCTTTAAAAAACACAGAGAAAGGGAAGACTATTGTGCTTTGGCTTTTTCAAACGAGATTCTACTATTACCGTGTGACTTAATTATTTTATTTCTTAATACACTTTTATTGATTTTAGAGAGAAAAGAAGGGAGGAGAGAGAACCATTAATCTGCTGTCTCCTTCATACCCTCCCACCCCACCTGGGATTAAACCCACAACTTGGGCATGTGCCTGGACTGAGAATCAAACTCAGGACCCTTTGGTGCATGGGATGACACTCAATGAATTGAGCCACACCAACCAGGGCTGTAACTTCATTTTTAAAAATAATAGTCATCTCTCTAGGTCAACTGATATATTCATGTATTCTTTTACACACACACACACACACACACACACACACACACATTTAGATACTAGAATCAAGTATTGAATAACTTGTACTAGAAATTCGCCATATCAAATAACTTGTTAACACACAATTTAAAGTCACTTTTTACCGAGTATATTTTTTAGGTGTAAGAGATGTAAGATATGGCATTTTGAAATGACTTTTAAAAAGCCATATGTGCAATTTTATTGAAGTCAGTGCATTTTAAAAAGCATGAGTTTAATATTTTAAATAAATAAAATGTGCCTCTTTTATATGAAAATAAATAAATTGGGCCACGAAATATTCATTGTGGACACAGCATTGTATATATAAAGATTAAAACTTTTGCTACAGTACTGGCCAGTGTCACTCAGTTGGTTGAACAATGCCCTGAGCACCAAAAGTTTGTGGATTCAATTCCTAGTAAGGGCACATGCCCAGATTGAGAGCTTGATCCCAAGTAAAGGGCCTGCAGGAGGCAGCTGATCGGTGTTTCTCTCTCTCCCTCTTCCTTCCTGTCCCTCTAAAAATCCATTTTAAAAAACTATTGATAGAGACTAAAACTGTTTCTTAATATAAAACAATTAAGAGAGGCAAACTACAAAATCCAAAGACTTTTCCTAATCACAAAATTTAACCCACAATTTCTGTAGTGACACTAACTCGGTATTTCTCTGATTCAGGTCTTGGCATGACAATAAGGCATACTTAAAGAAAATGTTTAAATTTTTCTTCCTACTCTTCTTAGATTCTATTACTTGAGCGCTTGAATGTTGTTGAATAATAAAACTCAGAAAGTATAAAATAAAAATTGTAGCCTTGTTTCCTTTTAAGGAAACAAGACCAACCAATAGCCAAATATTTTACACATGCATACAAACTAAACGTTAATTATCAAACATTTGTACTTTATTTGTATACCTTTCATTTGAGCAGTGTATAATTAAAATTTTAATATTCTCCCCTAAGATCCCTTAGGGTAAAAACATTTCATTTATTATATAATATTAAAGGAGGTTCTACTTTGTGTTAATTAATTTTCCAGGTGGTGAATGGATTCAAATATTTTATTGAGTTCACAGCCAGGGAAACCACATGTTCCAAGCAAAGACATGAAGAGTTGAGCGAAAGTTGTGAGATCAAAAAACATGGAGTAAGTAGTCATGCAACTCTCTAGTTATTCCCTGGATATCTACTTGATATTTTATACTTGTATAAGTATTTCATGAATAACACTTTTCTCTTTTGACTTTTGTTTTCACTGATAGGCAAGTCTAAGATGCACTTTTGATGTTTACTATCCAGTAGGTGAGAAGAATAGAATTGACTCTACTTTCGAATGTCAATCACCAGGAAAGGTATGATTCTAATTAGTCAGCTTGGGTAAATTTTGCTCATTCTGCAATGTCCTATTTGGGGGTTGAAAATGAACCACAATTTTAAATGAATTGGGGGACTATCTTTTTAGAATGGAGAGAACTCTCACATTTCTGTGCTGACCTTTCTTTTTATGTCTAGAAAGGAAAACAACAGTCAGTCCCCTAATCACTTCTCACCCATCGTCAGTGTCCCATCCTTCAGGAGGCTCTCTCTTAATGAAGGGCAGCCCCTGCCTTGCAGAGCTAATACTAGCTCTGGGGCTTTAAGACATGCCTCAGAGGCTTCTCTGGCATCTGCCTCCATCCAAGGGACTTGGGAGAAATACAGATCTTAAACCCCACTCCACTTCAATTGAATCCAAATCTGCATTTTAACATGGTCCCCAGGGTTTCATACCCACATTCAAGTGTGAGAAGCATTAGCTTGTATCATCTTTTCCAATTCTTAAGAGAATCTTGGGAGGTAAGTAAGACTTTTCCCATTGTTAAGGATGAGACACTAAAAATTACAAAGATGATGAGATCCTGAAGTGGGTAGTAACATGATCAAGTGCTTGCTCTGTCCCAGGCACTGTACTGAGGGCTTCACACATATTTTTCTCTTGACAACTCTCTGAGGCAGGTGCTGCTGTTATTCCTATTTTAGAGATGAGAAAAGTGAAGCTAGTGGTGCACGGATGCAAGTGTAGGTCAAACCAGAGTCATCCGTGTTCACATGATGCTAACAACTAGGCTCTGGCTTATTTGACGCAAAAGACCATGCTTTTTGCACCACTGACACTGCCTCCAGCATCCTGTTCTCACCAGTAGTGAAATGTAGATAGAAATCATCCAGATCTTCAAAGCGAGTTGCCTCTTGTCTTTCTTTTTTTCTGATTTAGATTTTTGCCCTGTATAGGTATATATGTACTCTAACACAGACGTTATACAAAGGCTGCATTTCAAGCTTGTGAATATGTCCTAATGTGTTTCATCCCAAAAAAGTAATTGTGGGCACATGCTGCATATATATTCAGTCCACAAAGCCATTTGGGGTCTTTTGGTATAAAAACTGTAATTGTGCTAATAGAATTAGTATCAATTAATAAATAATGTGCCATGGTATTATGTAGTTCAAACTCCCAATTTTTCCAGATGAAGAAAAACCTCTCAAGTTTAGAGAGTATTATTAAGAAATATCCACAAATTATAAAATCAATCAAAAGAGGAAAAGATATTCATTCTCATCTTTTTTGCAATATTAACATAGTATTTAAAACCTGGCTAAAGACTTGCTCCATTGTAAACCAAGTTAACATTGCCAGGTCTCAGTCCTTTCTTTCTTCATTGAGAGTGTGGTTTCCACAGTAATCCATTCATTTTAATATTTCCTGGTTAGACCACATTGCTAAAAAGACCTCCAGGTTTTTCACCTTTCTGATCAGTACAAGTGGCGGAAACAAAAGAAGGAACAACTGTAAGTCCACCCCACACTTCCATGGCACCAATTCAAGGTCAAGAGCAGGATTCAGAAAAAGAACAAGGAATCATTCATGACCATGGCTGGGGCCATGAAAAGCAAATAAAATATGGCTTTGGCCATGGCCATGAAAATGAGCATGATCAAGGCCATGTGCACAAAAACGGATATGATCTTGCACATGAGAAAACAATACTTTGATTAGTTAAGGTCACAGATCTGTTCTGTCTCATGTAAATGCCAAAGTCATTTAACATTACATCTGCCTTCTCCTACTCTTTCTCCTTCACATTTTTTTCATCCTCCCAACATCTATTGAGAACCCAATATGTGTCAGAAATTGTGTTAGGCATAGTTTATATATTCAACACTAGGGGCCTGATGCACGCACCAGCTTCCCTCTGGCACCAGGACCCGGGCTTCCTTCACAGCCCCAGCTTCTTCTGAAAGGCCATCCGGAAGGACGTCCAGTCTAATTAGCATACAATGCTTATATTATATAAGATTATTTGTTTTCTTGTTGTATAATAATTAAGAGTTCTGTTTTTTACATACATGATATCATTTGATTCAATATCCTACTCCATTTTTTAAAAAATAAAAACAACTAAAGCTCAAAAAAAAAGAAAAGGTAATATGGCCTAGCACATAGACATAAATATGAGCAAGGTCATGGCCATGAAAAACATAAAAATAAAGGAAAACAGAATAGAAAGCACAATGGTTGGAGAACAAGTTCTTCTGAAGAAAGTACTATATCTACAGAGACACAAGAGAAGACAGAAGGGCCAATACCCCTCCCCTCCCTAGCCCAGTCAGGTGTAGAAGTTCCCTTTCCTGAATTTCAGGACTTAGATCTCACTGCAGCTATGATGACTAATACACCACCAACTCCCACAGAGAATGATGATTCTTGGATCCCTGAAATCCAGATAGAGCCCAATAGCCTTTCATTTAACCTGATATCTGACTTCCCAGAAAGATAACTGATTTCCCAGAAACAACTTCCTGCAAGTGTCCTGGACGCCCCTGGAAGCCAGTTAATGGAATGAATCCAACTGTGGCAACAAAAGAATTTCATGATTTCAATCTCTCTGATGCTTTATATTAATGTATGCAGCCATGGGTGTTTCTTTAATAATTCACCATCCCCTTTAACCATTGTCCACATACCCTGATATAATGCACCAAAAACCATGAAGCTTCAAACAGCCTAGAGAGAAGTGGTGAGACTCCCAATGGGGACACCATCAATTTCTATGAACAACACAAAACTGTGTGCAGGATTCTACAGACTTTCTGAATCTTCCTCACAAGTTTTCTTAGCTAGCACAGAAAATGGACAAACAAATGTGCCTTGTGGCCTACTGCAACTTGCTTTTCTAATAACAAATATGTACCTTAGAATGGATGTCATCGACTTTCATACATAGATTCTTGCCATTCTGAATAAACGGTGGCATCTGGTCTCTGAACATATGTGAAAAGAAGGAAAGTCAAGAGACTGAATGTTAAACTTCTTAATAGGGCAAAAATAATAATAAAAGCTACCAGAGGTCAAAGAAGGACAACAAGAAAGACAGACTGGCCAAAGGGAGGACAGGGGGAAGTAAACTAATTGACTTTCTGTTTCCAAACGGGCTAGTCATATCAAATAGTTACTCCCACTTCACAAAGCTATTCTGATAATTCTCTTTCTGAATCAGAGTGTTTCTCAGAAGTCAGCAAATTCTATTTACTCATTAACTACTCTTTGCAACAAGGCTTTGAAATAGGAGTTTTCTGTTTGTTTATTTGCTGTTGAGGCTAGAATGAGCAATCTTCAGTTTTTAGCAGCTCTGAGTTTAATGATAACAATGAAAAGCAGGAGTAGTGACATAGAAGGAAATCTTTTTTTATAATTGAGAAGGGAATATCATAAGATGTGGCAGAAAATTTATTCAGAAATTTTATGAGGAAATGCCTCTCTAGCCACAACTTATTATCAAATCATCTTTAGCTAGGGCATTGAAGAGCGCTGATTTTTACAAAAAAGGGACAATATGATGGTCTTTAATTGTTTCTAATATGAGGGAAGTATGCATTTCATAATTACTGCTGTGTTCTGGCTAGTGAAACAGGACAGGGCTTTAAACAGCTACAGTTGCTTGTGGAGGCATGTGCCACTGCTACTTCAAGTTATTGGATGCATTTGAGCCTCTGAGTTTTTATTCCATTTCAAACATTATCTGTACTTTTCAATAAAGAACCAATGATGTCAGGAACAAGCCTCATCTTGTCAACTGGTTGCTTCTGTTGAATGATAACACCATATTAACAGAATTTTACTATACTTACAGAAGCAACTAAGACCCTGCGTGTACAAGGGCCGACCTCGGGAGGCAGGGACACAGCCAACATCTAAGAGTGAGGCCTCTTGACCAGTGGGCAAAATCTCCACGTCTCGCACAATAGCCCAGCATCCTGTCAGCAACCCTGAATGGAAGAGCAAGAAGATGGGATAGAATGGCAATGGAGAAGAATGCCATTTTATCATTCTGTTTCTGGGTGAAATAAAGTTTGATCTTAATGTTCACACTCCTGGTTCATTCACACCCATCCTGCAGCAAAGTCCAGTTGATCAGAGAGCACACTCTACCATGGAGACTCATAATGCAACTCTGGAACATGAGAGGATCCCTTAAGTGGGCCTTCCCTACCACCAGGATCTCACATGGCCTCTAAATCAAGGATTTGTGGGCAATGTTTCCATCAGCAATCTAAGGAATCTCTCTACCTTCCCTTCTTCCTCTCTCTCCTTTTTTTTTTCACTCTCTCCTTATTTCTAGTTCAAAGTTAAGAGTGATTTGTCTTGTTTTGTTATTTTTTTAAAAAGATCTAGATAATCACCAAAAAAGAAAACAAAAAATATTCTATGTTAATAGGATACCTACCAATTTTTACTAGCAAAATGTATCAAACCTCAAAAAAGTTTAAAGAAAATTTAAAATTAACTTTCTGGTTCAAATAATGGTAAAAAGTAGAAATCGAATAGAATAAAATGTTAAGAGATATTTAATTTTCTGTAATAGGTATTTACTGAGTGCCTATTCTGTAATAGGTATTTACTGAGTGCCTTACCATCCTAAACAGTTTCTGTTTGGTGTGTGACTCTGTCCTCACAACAACTCTCAGGTCCCCATGACCACCTTTCATTTACAATGAGGAAACTAGCTCCCAGTGCCCTGCTCAGGGTCACACAATTACTACATGACAGAGCTGGCATTCATACTCAGACCTTTTGGACTTCATTACACTAAGTTACCATGAGATATTATTATTAATGTCGGCATTACAAAAACACATTTCTGAATCTGAGATGATCATTATCTCAATACAAAAACCCTTATTAAGTATCTTATTGTGTCTGATGCTGTTCTGAGTACTGCTCAGGATAAACTATGACTCAGTCAAGCACTGGCATTGGCTATTAGGCAGCCTGAATCCAAAAGCTGGAAATTTACTTAAGTCCTATCAACATCCCCGTGTCCTCATCTGAAATATTAGGTTAATAATATGCTCACATCATAGGTGTCTGGTGAGACTTGAAAGAGGTAATTCCTATAACTGCCATAATGCTTAGCACATGGCAACCATTCAGTAAAGGGTAGCTATTGTTGCATTACTGGAACATAACTGTGTTACTTTTAGAATTTAATTCTGGGGGGAAATATTTTGTCAGACAGTGAGATGTATTTAACAGAGCATATATCCCCTTTTGCCTTTGCAGCCATACATGTTTCAAAGGTTGTAATCAGCTTATATCAAGTGGCTACTAATAGCCACTCCCTCATTTTCAATTCCACAGTTCCCAACCTGGCTGCACATTAGAATAACCAGGGGAGCTCTAGACCATAGTAATCCAAATCTCTGTGAGTTGTTCTGAGTATCAGTATTTTTCAAAAGTTCTCCCTTGATTCTAATGCATCCCAAGGTGAGAACAATTGATTTAAGCCTACTGTTTCCTTTTAATCCAAGTTTACAATGTTCCTCTTTATTGTCTTTCAATTTTTTAAAAAAATAGGAAAGTTATGAGATTCACAAGGCATAGATGGATGGATGGATGGAGGGATGGATGGATAGATGGACAGATGGATGGATGGATGGACAGACAGACAGACAATTAACTAAGCATTATATTCACTAGGTTTGTTGCAATAAAAATGAAGAGTATAATATGGGTATGAATGGCCTTTCAAAGACTTATAAACAGATTATTTACTGAGTATGAGAAGTGAGGGACAGGAATAAGTCAAAGATGACAAAAGTTTTCCAGTCTAGGTGCCTAAGGGAATAGTAATGCCATTAACACAAACAAGGAAACTGGGAGCTGATCTGTGTTCCTAGTAACTCTAACAACCAGACTGACCCCAAATGCACATAATTTAAGATATTTCAACAACTGAATAAGCATATGAAATCATTATGGATATAAAACACTGCTAGAACCCACCTCAAATTATTTCATTTACTGCAATACCTGTGGCACCTGCCATATTAACAGGGAAGTACCATTAGATACTCATGGACTAAGCTTGTGAAAAACAAGTGAGAAAACTACAATTGCAGGACTCCTCCTATCAAAAAGAACAGAAAGGGGAGAAATTATTTTCTGAAAGTAATCTTAACTTCTATTTGACTGATGAATTAGAAGCCTGAAACTAGCAAAAGATCTTTATTCTGGCAGCTTTTCTGTCTCCTATCTTCTCTATATGGCATTTTTGAGTGTGTGGAAATACCACTATTATTAAAAACGGATAAAATAGTAGCTCTTGGAAAAAATAAAGGTACCAGTTTTTTTTTTTTACCTAAGCAATATTTACCAACTGGGAGCTTTTGTCAACTTAGCTAAACAGGAATTGTCTCCAAGAAGCCCCTTTTCTGTATGGTTCTGGGTTAGCTTTGTTCAAAGGAAACATTTGTGTTTGAACAAGAAGATGGAATGAAGCAGAGCCATGACTCTCAGAAAGTCACAGAGTGAGATGCAGTGAGTGAGGACTCAGGGGTAAGACTTCAGGCCTGGCCTCATCCTTCCTTATTTGGAGAGTAGCTCTCTCCCCCACCGCTGGCCATGTTGACCTAGAGCCACAGGAGGCGCTCTAGGGCAACAGCCTTCACTAACTCCCCTCATAGTTCCTCTGGAGCTGAATGTGCCTGTCCAGATTTCAAAATCCATTCACGGGAGGTGGGTCCTTCAGACCGGCCTGCACCTTCTCTAATCTGGGACCCCTTGGGCATGTCTGACTGCCAGACATCTCTTTAGCAATCCAGTACCGCTGGCTCCTAACTGCTCCTGCCTGCCGCCTGATTGCCCCTAACAACTCTGCCTGCCTGCCTGATAGCTCCTAACCACCTCCGACTGCCAGCCTGATTGCCCCTAATTGCCCTCCCCTGCCGGCCTGATCACCCCTAACTGCTCACCTGACGGCCGGATCTCCCCTAACCACATCTGCCTCTTCCCCCACCACAGTGGCTTTGTCTGCAAGGATGACTGGACGACTAGTAGATGTATGGATGACCAGAGATGTCCAGTTGACCCAGTCTAATTAGCATATTACCCGTTTAATAGTATAGGCTGGAGGCCCGATGCATGAAAATTCATGCAAGAATAGGCCTTACTTTTCCCGCCTGCCGGCAGCAGCTTCCCTCCTGCATCTGGGACCCTGGCTGGCTTTCTTCAGGCCGCTCACAGGCGCCCGGGACTTGGGCTGGCTTCCCTCAGGCCCTGGCTTCATCAGGAAGGATGTCCAGAAGGATGTCTGGTCTAATTAGCATATTATCCTTTTATTATATAGGATGAGCACTAAGACAGCATGACCTTTGTGCTAGAAGGAGACATTAATATAAAGGACAATAAGTAAAATTTCCCTTTGCTCTGGATGGAGTCAGAGTCTCTTATCTCCTAGGGCTGTTCTTTGTACAAACAGCTTTGAAAGATAGTCCAGAACAAAATTAGTCATTGCCTCTGCTCTTAAGATGTGCAGAATCATGCAGAAACTCATAAAAAATTGTTCTCCAATACAGAGAAAAAATAAAATGCATAGTTTCTACACAACATCTATGCATGTTTTTATGTATGTATCTTTATGCACAAACACTTTTTCCTTCAGAAAACTCAAATTGAGATGAATTAAATAGAAACATACAATTATGATATACAGAGTGGGGCAAAAAGTAGATTTACACTTGTTTGTATGGAAATTAAAACAATAATTAATAAATAGTAATATACAAATAAACTCTATTTCATATACTCACAATTGTAAACCTACTTTTGACCCACTCTGGACTTGATAAAGTTGGTTAAAGCTAGCATTTTATTTATTTTTTTAATTTTCTTTTTATTGAATTCAGAGAGGTATGGAGAGGCAGAGAGAAATTTAGAAAGATGAGAGAGAATCATTGATTGGCTGCCTTCTGCAGGCCCTTCAATGGGGATTGAGCCCACAACCCAGGCATGTGCACTGACAGGGAATTGAATCATGACCTCTTGGTTCATAGGTAGATGTTCAACCCTTAAGCCATGCCAGCCAGGCTAAAGCTAGTGTTTTAAAGTCTTAAGTATTGTTATTCAAACTAACATGACTATCTAAGTACATATGTACATATTAAAGCTATATTAAGGCCAATAGCATTGTTTAGTTACATATAATCAAGGAGCGATGACTTGTAGTTTGAGAAAAGAAACAGGGTATGTCTCAAGGTATGTCATCTGTTGTCAACATGAAGCAAATAAAAGTTCTTTGCCTAAATTATGTTCTGAAATGGTAGCAAAATTTTTGTCACCCTTCTGGGTGTGTACTCTCACTTTTCATAAGCGTGCCATCTTTACACAAATCCTTGTGATGCTTCTGAGTACTTCATGATTAAACATGAGTGTAAAAACAATGCAGTTTCCTACTGCTGAAAGAATGACAATTTTCACTGTTACCTCTGTGTAGCCAGTATCAAATATCCATTTGTCATTTTCAGCCACCTTTGCTACTATTGTTTATCAACTGTCCAGTATCTTAGGCCTACTTTTTCATATGTTATTCATTTCTACAACTTGACTGCAAATTCGGTAACTTTGGACATTTACAGGTTGTTTCTTTCACTCCAATGGTCTTTGCTGCTCCCCAGAATAACAAAGATTGGCTCCCTCGCCTTGTCCAGCTCAGCACTCACCAACTAGGAGGGGAGACCAAGAGTGAACAGGCATGACTTGTATGCCATAGTATTTTCCAAGAATTGCTGTCCTGTCCTGTAAATGCTGCACTTTCTTGTGAGCCCCTCAATGTTGAAAACAGTGTTAAGACTAAGGGAAGCACTCCTCCCCTCCTAGGGAACCTAGTGAAGAGTGGCTCATATAAGCACACTCACGCTTGTGAGCACCTGTTAGAATGAGTGGGCACAATGGCTGTCCACAGAAGACTTCTAAACAATAATGGACCC